CCAGGAGTTTGAGGTTGCTGTGAGCTAGGCTGACGCCACAGCACTCACTCTAGCCCGGGCAACAAAGCGAGACTCTGTCTCAAAAAAAAAAAAAAGAATTTTTTTGAGGCAGTGTCTCACTATGTTAACCAGGCTGGTCTCAAACTCCTGACCTGAAGCAATCTCCTGCCTTGGCCTCCCAAAGTGCTGGGACTGTAGGCATGAGCCACCATGCTCAACCAATAATTCTTTATATTAAATTCTTTCTGTTCAAATAAAGATGGGATGGTTTCTGTCTCCTGGTTGGATTCTGACTGATACAGACCCCAATAGTAGCCAACCATGCCCTACTCTGAGTCTTTCCAACATCTTCCCTTATAATTGCTGGCTGAGTTATTGAAGGTGACAATTTCACCAAATATTTTGCTACAGCATAAGAGAGCTCTCCAGCCATCCATCTGCTGTATCTGTGTCCATGTAATCCACTGCCTAACTATTAATTCAGTGACATATTTTTGTTTACCCTATTCCTGGTACAAATTTCTATAATAATAAGGGTCAATTAATTGCTGTAGTAAACAACCTCCTAAACTCAGTGATTTGTACAACAAAACTTTATTTCTTGCTCATATCAGAGTTCAATATAAGTTAGTATAGTAGGGGAGAGCTCCGATTTACACAATTATACAGGCACCCAGGTTTCTTCCATCCTGTGGCTCCACCCTCTTCTAGGTTCTCAGAATCTTCTCTATTCTGCTAGCAGATGGAAAGGAGAGCAAGGATCAGCACCCAGGAGTTTTATGAGCCAGCCTGGGAATAGCACCTGTCACTTCCACTAGCCAGAATTCAGTCACATGGCCATTCTATCTGTGAGAGAGGCTGAGAACTGTGGGTATCGGTGAGAGCAAGTACTTTATACTACATGAAATGGTTCATTAGTGACATTTACTTATTTTTTATTTTTTTTAAGAATATGAAGGGGGAGTGAGGAGGGAGGGTTCAAGTTCCTTTTTTTTGTTTTTGTTTTTGTTTTTTTGTGTCAGAGTCTCACTCTGTCATTCTGGGTAGAGTGCAGTGGCATCAGCCTAGCTTACAGTAACCTCAAACTCCTGGGCTCAAGCAATCCTCCTGCCTCAACCTCCCAAGTAGCTGGGACTACAGGCATGCACCACGACACCCGGCTAATTTTTCTATTTTTAGTAGAGATGGGGTCTCACTCTTGCTCAGGCTGGTCTTGAACTCCTGACCTTGAGCGATCCTCCTGCCTCGGCCTCCCAGAGTGCTAGGATTACAGGCATGAGCCACCGCGCCCAGCCTGTGTCTTGCTTCTAACCATAGAATATGGCAAAGGTGATAGGATGTCACCCCCATCACATATAATAGTAAGTTATATAAAACTGTCTTAGCAATCTGGAGCTAGAGACTCTCCTTGTCAGCTTCGTGAAGTAAACAGCCGCATAGGAGAAGCCTGCATGGCAAGGAACTGTGGTGATCTCTAGGATTGCAGGTGGCCTCTGGAACCTGAGGGAGACCTCCAGCAGACAGCCAGCAAAAACTCCAGGCCCTCAGCCATAGTCACACAGTTGCAAGGAAATACATTCTGCCAACAACCTGAATGGGTTTACAAGTGGATTCTTCCCCAGCTGAGTCTCCAGATGAGACTGCAGCCTGACACCTTGCTTGTAGTCTTGTGAGACTCTAAGCAACAGACCCAGCTAAGCTATTCCTGGGATCCTGACCTAAGAAAGTGTGTTCGTTTTAAGTTCGTGGTAATTTGTTACATAGCAGTAGAGGAGGAATATACCCAGAATTCCTGAAGGAAACATTGGGGCCCTCGGGCATGACCCCCTACATCATATGATGCCTAGGAAACTTAGGGTCTGGGCCTAGGACACGGACCAGGGTGAGGGAGGCCGGAGGGTGTGCCACACACCCCCACTGAGCCCTTTGAACTTCAAGGCAGAAGTTATGAGGCCCTGGCTTTCAAAGCAAATTGTGTCCCCCGCCCCCACTGCTGCCTGCCTCCCAAAATGCCTGTCCATCAGTCACTCCTTAGAGATGGGCAAAGCCTGGCCCTGGAATTACAGATTGCCAGAAGTAGATCACCATGTCCACCACCTGAATCTCGGCGCTTGGCACAGTACGTGGCACACAACGGACGCCAACAAATGGTCTAATTGCAAAAGAACAGAGAGAACCCTTGAGTGCGCACTCGCACCGCTGCATCTGCTGTCCCCCTCTTTGTGCAGAAGGGAAAAGGGCGGTTCAGGGAGCGCCAGGGA